TTTTAACACAAAAATTTCACCAATAGAAAACATTTTGTAGCATCTGGCCATGTCATTGGCAGGATCTGTCAATGTTTCAAGACACAATTTCTTGTCAAGAATGAGAAAAAATGTTCCTAGTTACATCCCCATTATGCGGCACATCATATTCATCAGCAAAGTTGCAGTGACTCACCTGCATGTGTCCTTTGGTGCTATGGGAGTATGGATCCCCATTTGAGCACAGAGATTGACTAAATCCAAAAGCAAAAGAACTGTCATTCAAGTGCTCTACAGCTCAGAAGAAAAGTCAAAAAAAGAGGCAGGAGACCCTAGTTATTTGTATTAATTTGATTTTGTTTCTTAGGTATGGTTGGGTAGATAATGCCATAATAATGTGAGAAATGAAGAACAGCCTTTCCAAAACTGGTGGCCTCCAGATATATCAGACTACAATTCCCACCATCCCCAACACTTGTCCCAATTGGGGAGATCTCTGCAACAGCATAGATGGGGAAAAGGGCAGTAGTGATCCACCAGTGTTAAAATAAAGACTGTATAAGGATGAGCTATCTGTGGCATATGCAACAGAGACAAGATCCTTGCTGCTTATTAAAGTTTTATTTGGCTCCCTCCCTCCCATGCTGTGAACATGGCAATTAATTATTTAGAGTAACTAATCAATCGGGGACTAAATGTACTAATCAAACACATTGCAACTGCTAAGTATCGCTCACTTGAAGACATTGATCAGCTGAAAGATGCTCTGGAGATGGTCCCAAGGAGGAGTCTTACAGACTGTGGCGGCACCTTTGGAACCCTCTAGGGTTGAGTCCTTGACACCATCTGCTGGATTATGCAGAAAGTTTAACACCAAACCATCAGACAGACAGCAATTATTTTCCATTCTGGTGCCCTTTATGGACTCTCAGTAGGGAATCGGATTTCAGGGGAAGTCTGGAAATTTTGCTGTTGGCTAAGAGATTGAAAAAAAAGGTGTTTGGTTTCTCATTTTCTTGATTAACTAGTCCCCTAAAATGATAATTTTAATTCTAGTTATCAACACTGGAGGTTATCACAAGTCTAAAGGAATAATTAATCTGCCAAATGCTTTATAATCAACTGTTTGTTTGGGGAACAGGGAAGAGAGGGTTGCAGCTTCCTTGAAAACAAGAATTCCTTTTTAAGGTTATGTTTATACATTTTTGTGTGTGTATGTGTGTGTGGGGGGGTATTTTTTGTATCAAATATCAAAACAAGAATTCCAGATGGGTCTTAGCAGGATGGAAAGATCAGTATATATCCTGTCTGTCACCTATATTCTATATAGTATCATAGAGTTGGAAGAGACTCCAAAGACCATCCAATCCAACCCACTGCCATGCACAAAGCACTCACAACAGATGGCCACCCAGCCTCTGCTTTAAAAAACTCCCAAAAAAGAGACTCCATTACACTCCGAGGGAGCATATTCCACTGTTAAACAGCTCTCACTGTCAGGAAGTTCTTCCTAATGTTGAGGTGGAACCTCTTTTCCTGTAGTTTGAATCCATTGCTCTGGGGCCTACTCTCTAGAGGTGCAGAAAACAAACTTGCTCCCTCCTCAGTATGACATTCCTTCAAACATTTAAATATGGCTATCATATCACCTCTTAACATTTTCTTCCCAGGTTAAACATTCCCAGCTCCCTAAGCTGCTCCTCATAGGGCATGAATTCCAGAACCTTCACAATTTTGGTTGCCCTCCTCTGGATACATTTGTCAACATCCTTCTTGAATTGTAGTGCCTAGCACTGGACACAAGATTCCAGGTGAGGTCTGACCAAAGCAGAACAGAGTGGCAGTATTACTTCCCATAGCACCAAAGGGTCTAGATAGGACACTACTATTGATGAAGCCTAGGATCATATTGGTTTTCTAAGATGCTGCATCACACTGTTGACTCATGTTGAGCTTGTGGTCTAGATCCCTTTCACATGTACTGTTGTCAAGCCAGATGTCACCCTTCTTATATCCATGCATCTCAGTTTTACTGCCCAAGTATCCTATATTTCTCCCTGTTGAACTTCATTTTGTTAGTTTTGGCCCAACTCTCTAATCAGTTATGGTCATTTTGAATTCTGTTCCTGTCCTCTGAGGTATTAGTTACCCCACCTAATTTGGTGTCATCTGCAAATTCCATCCAATTTCACATCACTCTTCATTTTTATTTAAAAAAAATTGCATTAATACTCACATTTACTTTTGAAAGCAACTTTCTCTCTAATATACATATTTTATACACAGCTTGCCATTTGGTCAAAATCCAATGGTAATTCCCAGAGCAGACCCACTAAATCAGTAGGGATTTGGTAAATCGAAACTTAATGAATGCCATTGATTCAATGTGTTTACTCTATCTGGGTATAAAATTTGATTTTGAAAGTCCCAATACATAAATTAAACTAATCTATGCATTATGTATACAATTTCAGCTGGACACATTTTTTTCATTTTACACTTTCCCTCAAATGTATTATTTGTAATGCAATTTCCTCTAACGTATGCATTTTTGCTTGTAATTTTTGAATCAAAAACTGCACAGGAAAGTTT